CTAAGAATCTTGCTAGAATTTCTTCTGGTTCTCAGCTCTCATGGCTATTTAGTATTTCACCAAGTCACGTCTATGGTTCTAACACTTCTCCAAACTTTGCTTCAAACTCGAGTTTCTTCTTCAGTCATCTTCAACAACCAAATAACGTGTGTTCTTTGCCGTACCAGCACTTTTCACCATCCTACCTCGCTACGAAGCACAAATACTTGCGCTTGACTCAGGTAGAAACTTGTCTGACCGTGTTTTCTAGAAATCTAGACGTGTGTTGGTCTTAACTACCAAAGAGCTAAGAATCATGCTAGGATTTCTTCTGGTTCTAAGCTCTCATGTCTCTTCAGCATTTCAAAAACTCACGTCTATAGTTCTAAGACTTCTCCAAAATTAGCTTCCATCTTGTGTCTCTTCTTCAGTCATCTTCACAACCAAATAACGTCTGTTCTTTGACGTACCAGCACTTTTCACTATACTTCCTCATTATGAAGTGCAAGTATTGCACTTGACTCAGGTAGAAAGTTGTTTGACCGTGTCTTCTAAAATTCCAGACGTGTGTTGGTCTTAACTACCAAAGAGTTAAGAATCTTGCTAGAATTTTTTCTGGTTCTCAGCTCGCATGGCTCTTCAGCATTTCACCAACACACGTTTATGGTTCTAACACTTATCCAAAATTTGCTTCCATCTCCTGTTTCTTCTTCACTTATCTTCAGCAACCAAATAACGTGTGTTCTTTGCCGTACCAGCACTTTCACAAACCTACCCCACTATCAAGTGCAAGTACTTACGCTTGACTCAGGTAGAAAGTAGTCTGACCGTGTCTTCTAGAAATTCAGACGTGGTTTGGTCTCAACTACCAAAGAGCTAAGAATGTTGCTACGATTTCTTTTGGTTCTCTGTTCTCATCTCTCGTTAGCATTTCAGCAATTCACGTCCTTGGTTCTAGTACTTCTCCAAAATTTGCTTCTATCTCGTGTTTTTTCTTCAGTCATCTTCAACAACCAAATAACGTGTGTTCTTTGCCGTACCAGCACTTTTCACCATACTCGCTCGCTGTAAAGTGCAGGCACTTACGCTTGTCTCAGGTAGAAAGTTGTCTGACCGTGTCTTCTAGAAATCCATACGTGGTTTGGTCTCAACTACTAAAGAGCTAAGAATCTTGCTAGGATTTCTTCTGGTTTTAAGCTCAAATGGCTCTTCAGCATTTCACCAACTCATGTCTATTGTTCTAACACTTCTCCAAAATTTGTTTATGTCTCGTGTTTCTTCTTCACCCATCTTCAGCAACTAAGTGACGTGTGTTCTTTACCGTACCAGCACTTTTCACCATACTCGCTCGCTGTAAAGTGCAGGCACTTGCGCTTGTCTCAGGTATAAACTTGTCTGACCGTGTCTTCTAGAACTCCAGACGTGTGTTGGTCTCAACTACCAAAGAGCTAAGAATCTTGCTAGAATATCTTCTGGTTCTCAGCTCTCATGGCTCTTTAGCATTTCACCAAGTCACGTCTATGGTTCTATTACTTCTCCAAAATTTACTTCTATCTCGTGTTTCTTCTTCAGTCATCTTCAACAACTAAATAACGTATGTTCTTTACCGTACCAGCACTATGGATCGCGTCAATTGTGGACTTATCGCTGAAGCCTGCTCGCTATCCTTATGGATCGCTTGCGCAGGCAACTTCTTATAATTTTTGTTAGACAAGTGGAAATTCCTGTTTATCTTGCTTCTTCTCAAATGGTTTTCCATTCAACAGTGTTGAAAGCTTTTTTGACGTCCAGCGTCTTCCTTCGCAATGTTGATCACTGCTTGCGTTGCGTCAATTGTGGACTTATCGCTGAACCCTATGGTACTCCGCTATTTATGATTGCTCGCTATCCTTATGGAGCACTTGCTAAGGTTACTTTGTTTTTTATATTTGTCATGTAGGTGTAAATTCCTCTTTTTCCTACTTCTTCTCATATGGTTTTCCATTCAACAGTGTTAAAAGCATTTGTGAAGAATAATACAACAAGTAATTTAAAGAGAGAGAAAGAAGTAAGTAGACGTTTTACACGCGACACACATTAATAGAGTTAGTTGTCTAGCTAGTAAAAACCACGTGGGAAACGAATAAATCGCTTTGTACGACATGAATTACGAGCGCTTTTCTCGATTCAATTAAAGGTGTACTTCGGAGAGATTATTACACTTGAAACACGCTTTTTTTTGGTTTTCGTAATCCGCCTATAACGGAACAACGAAAGCACGTTTAATTGCACTTAATATATTCAAATTAAATGGAAAATTCCTTCATATTTTTGGTCAATTTACTTTATTCTATGTAGTAAACATTCCTAAAACATTCTGCCTAAAAGTAACTAATTAATTTTGCGTAACGAGCATAACTGTAAGAATCTAATGTTTATAATAAGATTAATTGAACTGGATTAAAAATAATTAAATTAGTTGAATTTCTTTTGTACAAACAAAATGAGAATTTTACAGAATGGATTTAGTTTATTTAATCTGTTTATCCTTGAAACAATTGTTATTTTTATATAATTAAAAGAAACAATTGTTTCAATAATGCAAACATTCATTGAATTCGATTACATTAATTGAGAAAAAGTTGTATTTTTTTACTATGAAATTGTTATCTGTTTCTGTAGAATTTCTGTAAACTTTCAACGTAAATGTAAAAAAGAACTTGCTTATTTTTGTACATAATTTGGATTTCCCTGCTTTTACTTTCATCTTTTCAACGCAGATTTTCAAATATTTCTCGTTGATACTTCAAAACTTTCACCGCGCGTGCAGATGTTACCAATTAAATTGCAAATTTATACATATTTTACGGATCATACTAATTATTTACTGCCAAATCTTCAACTTGATTTATATTTTTATCTCTTTGCTCCACATACCCAATTTTCGTGAAGGTAAATATCTGTTTCCTAAATTAGCTTCATATTGAATGTTATAATTTACTAAATTTGAAGAATTTCATTTTTTTTTTACATTTCTTGTCTAAAGTAATTTGTGTAATTTATATTAGAAAAAAACATGTTTTTAGATGAATTTTTTTTTCTTAACAAAACACAATTTTATTCTTATAACTAAATTGATTATTATCTGATATGTTAATTCTGACTTTCTTCTTATAAAAATTTGAAGAAAAAAATATACAAATTAAAATTTCACTTTGTTTACTTTTTCAAGATAATTATGCTTAGATTTAAGTATTGTCATTGCGAAATTTCAAGAGAATTACGTTTTCTAAAGGTAAAGATAGTTAACCCAGTTAAAAGAAATGGAACCGCTTTAAATTTATTATAAAAATATTCAAATTAATTTTGTTTCTTTTTTTCATTCTTTCTCAAATTTCTTTATGTATGAAATTCATTCAATAACGAATTTTGTTTTTACAACTTTCAAAAAAAATCAAACGTTTTGTGGGTCACGTTGCATAGTCATCATTCTGTATAAGAATTAGACGTGTAGATGCATGGACCCAGTTTCCGAAAAGTAAAATCGGTTTAATAAAAAAAAAAACTTATAATCGACTTTCTCTTGATCATATGAAATGACTAGATCCAACTTCCATTATTTTTTTTAAACTTCGCTCATATTTTAAACATATATTTTTAGGAATTTCATTGTTCTCATAGTTTCTTCTGTAATTTGCACATTCGATTATTTAATTAGCGTAAGTGGTTAATGAGTAATTAGACAAAACGTGAAGACGTAAAAACAAATAGAAAAAATTGATATAACTCAACATTATTTAACAGTAATTATGTTAAAAGATGCGCAATTGATGTCTTCTGATGTAAACATAAACAAGTTATCAAGTTATTTAATAAAATTTAAAAAAATCTAAATATAGTCAAAAATTTCATTTTTTAAATAGTTTAAATTATAGGTTTTTATATCAAAAGATGAATGAAAAGGCCTACTGAAGTAAAATTATTAAAGCGTGGAAATTTTGACAGAATATTGCAAGTAAACGACGAATAATACAAATTTGTTATTTATTTCATTTTAAAACCTATAATTTTGTGATTATTTTCCGTATTTGCTGATTCAATTTGCGTGAACGGTTATAAAGTAATTAAATTAAACGTTTTATTACTCTACATTTTCTACCTCTAATTTTATTACTCTATTTTGACAATTTAGTTCTGTGAAATGGTAAATAATAGAAAACTGGTAATTCCTACATTCTAAAGTTTAAGACTTCTTTTTTATACTTCTTTTATTTGATAATACAATTAGCAAATGTGATTTTTCTATAATTAAATAAAACATGAAGACGTAATTATTATTTTTTTTATAGAAAAAATGCCATATTTCAGTTAATAATTAATGTTAACTATACAAAATGGTATTAAAAGATGCGTAATGTAAAACTTCTTCTAATATGGTGAAATGTAGAAAAACTTTACTAATGTTAAAGTTAATTACCTCATTCATTTCACTGTCCTTCTGTGACGAACGTTGGCCCTATTGCTGCAGGCACCGAGAGGGCTAACATAGGGTCTGGCTTGACCAGGATTTGAACCTGTGCCCCCTAGATCGTGGATAGGGCGACTGTGAATCTGCTGATATCCTTAACACTGTCACTGTCCATCTACTTGGCTGAAGGTCCATATGCTGAACCTTATTCATTTCACTGTCCTTCTATGACGAACGTTGGCCCTACTCCCACCTATTCCCACTAGCTCATGAGTAGGGCGACTTAAAGATTCGGCTATTAGTCGCCTAAACAAAATAATTGGATCGACTTTGAAACCTTAATTTCATGTTCGAAGAAACAAGTTTTTTTTTTTATTATTTACATACATATTATCAATCTTCCAGCGATAATTTGTTTCCGTTTTTCTAATCCAAATGCGTTAGGAATAATTCGCATTTGAATTACTTATGAGCTGCTGTAATAAATTACGTTCTAATCGATTTCCTTGATATAATAAAAACCATCTAACAACAATCCACATCCATTCTGAAGAGTTCTTTCTTCCTGTCAAAAATGGTGGTTCTACTGAAGAGGAACAAATGGCCGGAGAGAGTAATCCTTTGCACAGCAAAAGCCATGTCAATTCTACCGTCAAATACCAAATACAACAAATTATACGGTTTATTCCACTTTGCTACCAATTGGATCATTCTTGGCTTCTCGTTCCACCAGAAAAGCCAGTACTACGCTTCACTACCAGCGACTCTGAGCTTCACGGAAATCTGCGCAGACGTCTCCTTATCCATCATCACCACCTACGCAATTCTAATGCTGAATTTAGCAAACGGAACTGAAGTTCTCAAATTCATCAAGATCTGCAGCTATCGTGTACAATTCGAACCAAAATCTTCATGCACTTACGCGAGAGAATACATTGTCATAAATCTACTGTTTGTGGTATACAAAATCTTCACTTTGTATTCGATGTATGGATTGCAACGTTTCAGCTTTGAAATCTTCCAAGTTTGGCCAAGATACGCTTCGATCGTTGTCTTCGCTTTGCTGCGTTATTACGCGCTGATTATGAAATGGAAGTTTATTGAATTGAACGAGCGTTTGCGGATGCTGAAGTATCCTGAAATCAACAGTATAATGATCAGCAAAAATCTGAGCGAATTCAGGAACATCTCCAAAAACCATACAGAATTTGTCGGTTTGATAGACGAGTATAACACAGTTTTCGGAAGGCAACTCGTGGTCAACTACATTCAGATCATCTTAAACTTACTCTTACCTTTGAACACATTGAGCTATTACTCAAGCGTCAGCAATAGTCCTATACCGTTTTACCAACTCTGTCTTCTATGCTCTCTTCTTACTACTGTCCCATTGGTAAATTTCTTAGATTTTCTTTATTTTTTTTTATAACACATCAAGTTTCAGGTTTTGGCTTACACACTTTTTCGATCGTGCAACGATTGCATCGATGAATGCAATAAGGCGCAGATGAGTTGTTACGATATTGCGCACGCTTTACCAGACTCTGATGCTAATTCCGTCTTCAAATTTGAACTGAGACAATTCGCTCATCAATTGGGACAGGAAAATGCACATTTTTCGGCCGCTGGATTCTTCGATGTTAACTATCAGCTCTTAACGTCGCTCATCTCAACTGTCACCACATATTTAATCGTTCTGATACAGTTTAATAAGTAGATTTCAAGTAACGTTAACATTTTCTTTACGGTTCTTTAGCATTAAGACATTTTACAGTTTGTAGTAGACTAAAGCTATGAGTAGACTCGTTGGAAAGGTGAAACTATCAGCTTCAATTTGAGTATAAAATGATATAATTATCTCTTGCGATTCTCGAGAAAATCAGGAAAAAATGAAGATAAAATATCAACTATAAAAATTTAAAAAAGTTAAGTAACTTTTGAGTAATTAATAAAAAAACTGAAAGAAACTGAAAACTCTTCGGATCGCAACGTTTATTTTTTTTTAACGATTTGTGCAACACTTCTGCCTATGCAATAAAACAACAAAATTTCGCAAAAATCGCACGAAATTTTGCAATAATTTTCAGACACTTTCAAAATCAAAATATCGATGTGAGTTCAGCACGTTCATTCGAAACGTGACAGTCTTCATTTTACGATTTTTGTTGAATTATGTAATTAACCTGCGGTTATTCTGAAATTTATGAAAACGTTAAGATGCTCCTTTTCAGCAACAACACTTTTGATAGCTCATAGATGATGAATCATTGACAGTAGGAAGCTAGTAATGGGCTCATTAGATTGGTGATTTTTTCAGCTTTAATATGAGTATAAGACGATTTAAGTAGTTTTTATGGTTCTCGAGAAAATCGATAAAAACTTGTACAGGAAATATAAAATGCCACTAATTTCTCAAATCAATATGAAAAGCAGAAACTGTGAGAAAAAAAACTTTGCTCTATGAATCAATAATAGAAACTGAAGTTTTTTTATTGGTCAGTTACAAAGTGATTACAGCATTGATTAAGAATGATGTTCGTAACGCAGAAAGAGAGGCGGTGGAACGTGCGGACGAAAACGGTAAAAAAAAGTTGATGTGGAAGTATGCGACTCTTCGTAATCGAAATGGGTACGTAATTAGAGCGAGAGGAGAACGAAGTAAAGCGGCAGAAGAATGGTCGACTCTGCCTACCACCATCATCAACATCATCATAGAACCGGCGTGGCAAAGAAGTCGACATTCAATCCGCGACCATCGGACCGTCCGGCGACTCAAGAAAAAAAAAGTAGAAGAAATTCGAAAAGTTTGTTTTTTTTTAAATAAAAATGAGGACCTCTAGTATTTTGTGCGTTGCGATCGTGTTGGTAATGTGCGCGGGATCGCGTGGAAACGATACGAATTCAGTGACTGAGAGCAATCAAAGTGTTGAGGAGATGATGGATGAAAGGACAGACAGGGCTTCGTACAGTGAGTAGGGATTTTCTGAATGATTAGAAAGGTGTCCTTATACGGTTTTCTTCGCTCGTCAAGCAACGTAGAAAGGAGATTTATTAAGGAGATTATATGTCGTTAATGGTGAACCTACTATGCTACATATACACTTGTGAATGTCCAATGATTATCGCGAGTAACAAACAAATAATAAACAACTATTGCTCTAAATACAGATCGTTTTTTTTATACAATTTTATTAACATATTCGCACGTTTCTTAACGGAGAGAATTTTAAATTGTTCAATTTTTTTACACAATTGCTTCTAGACGATTTTATAAATCAAATAATAAAAAAAAATATGTAAAAAACACGTAAAAATAACGTTAAATGCATTTCTTAATTATAGATTTTAAGAATTTTAAATTATTAAAATTTATTCAATAATCTTTGATAAATTACTTCCAGACGATTTTATAAATTTATAAAAAAACGCAAATATTTAATGATAAATACTTAAGTAGTCATAGTTTTTCCAATGTATCACTTAAATTATATAATGCCCGTTAATTAGATATTTTTTTTAAGCAATAAATTATGAAGAATCATGTATAAATATGTATTAATAACAATCAAAATGAATGAATAGAAACTAAATTTGAAGTAATCAATTACCATAACAACCGCTTCTATGACAGCTGATGCATTCCAACCTTTGTGTATCCTTAGCAACCATAACAAAATGCAAGGTGTCATAAAAGAAACGTTACTATTTTATTTTGTCGCCATTTTTTTTTTAGAATTGTGGTTAAGACAGTTTTAATTAAGAAAATAGCAGTTAAAGGTTATAATTTGGCAAAAATTATTTTTCGCATTAATTTAGAAATATTGTTTAAACTATTGATTGAAAAAAATATTCAAATATATTATTGTTTACAAAAGTTATTTTAACAGAAAATGGTAACGTTTCTTTTATGACACTTTATAAATTTGAAATTACGTATTTTGTAAATCTTAGTAATAATTTTACTTTAAACTATAAAGTAAAAGATTTTTTTTTGTTAGTTTTAAGATAGCTTTGAGTTTGATTTAATTAAGTTTACAAATTATTGAAAAAAAACAGTAAATTTAAAAATTACATTATTAATAGTTAAAGGTGATAATATGGTAAAAAAATGTTTTCATGTTAATTTAGAAATATTGTTTAAACTATTGACTTAAAAAGTATTCAAATATATTTCTATATTAAAAAGTTATTTAAGTAGAAAATAGTAACGGTTTTTTATGACAATTTAGAAATGTATAGTTTCTTATATCAACAATGCGCTTAATAAATATTAAACATAATTTTACTTTAAAGCAACTGATCTTTTTTTTTTTGTTAATTTTAAAATTCAACGCTGTCGGATTTAATCAAGTTTACTGTAAATACATAACTCGAATGATCACTTTATTTGGTAACAATCCAGCATCTGCCGTTCGATTTGTTTCTGCTTAAATTCTCGTCCGTCAGCAGACACAAAACAGTTACCATTTGTTGAGACTTTGTACCCAATTGATTTCAACGGATATTCACATCATTATCTGTTCAAAAAGTAACAATTCCTGAAGAAATAACATCAATCTATGTGGAGCGGATGTACGAGTGAAAGCATAATTGAAAGAAATACGAAGGTGTATAAATAAATACATAAGTAATGATAATTGTTTACTGCTTAAAGCGTTTTATTTTAGTGTAAACAAAGTACATTTACAATAAGTGGACAAATATGTTTAAAAAAAAAAAAAAGTAGTATATTTTAATTGAAATTTCATACGGATTTCGCCGTTATCCCATAATGAAGAACGCTGGAAATACACGCTTTCTCTTACTGTTGGCCTATCGTTGTTTATTGATTATTTCATCTCGAACATCCCGCAATTTTTACAGTTTCTTTTTCTCTTTTAAGTTAAAATTAAATTATTTTTTATGTAGTTGAATCTTGATTTGCCTCATCTACTTCGATGGATATTCGCGAACCGGGAATACCTTAATAATTTATTAGCGTATTGTAAAATTTTCGTGGAATACTTATAAAAATGAAAATTATAAAGAAATTTATAAAGTAATGAATTCACATCTAATTTCAAATGAAAGATTGTAATAAAACTAAATAGATTTAATGTTGGCCTATTGTTGTTTATTGATTATTTCATCTCGAATATCACGCAATTTTTACATTTTCTTTTTCTCTTTTAAGTTAAAATTAAATTAATTTTTATGCAGTTTAACCTTGATTTGTCTCATCTACTTCGATTGATATTCCCGAACCGGGAATTCCCGGGAACACTTTAATAATTTATTAGCGTATTGTAAAATTTTCGTGGAATACTTATAAAAATGAAAATTATAAAAAAAATTATAAAGTAATGAATTCACATCTAATTTCAAATGAAAGATTTTAATAAAACTAATAGATTTAATATTGACCTATCGTTGTTTATTGATTATTTCATTTCGAACATCCCGCAATTTTTACAGTTTCTTTTTCTCTTTTAAGTTAAAATTAAATTAATTTTTATGCAGTTTAACCTTGATTTGCCTCATCTACTTCATTGATATTCCCGAACCGGGAAATTCCCGGGAA